CCGTGCCCGGCAACGGATCGCAACCCTCAGTGTTGCCCCCGCACCGGACCGGGGACCGGCAACGGGATGCAAGCCTCGGTGTTGCTCCTGCGCCTCGCTCAGCCAGTGAGCGGGAGCCGGTCCGTATGTGGGATCCGAACCCTCGGACGGGAGCGCCACCGCGCTTCCCAAGCGGCGCACTATCCAGTGTGCCACCGGGCCGGCCCCCATTGAGGGCTTTTTAAAGATACCAATGCCTGGCTCCTTCCCCAGATATTTTTTTTTTTTTTTTTTTCTTCCCCAGGTATTCTGATTTAATTGGTCTGGAATGGGCTTCAGGCACTGATTGCCTTTAAAAGATCCTCAGGGGAATCTAATGTGTAGTCAGAATTGAACCCTTGAGCCAGATAGCCAAACCATTAACTAATAATATATATATTTAACATTTGCTGTGTAACAGACACTGTATTAAGCACATTTATATTATTTTATTTACATAATTCCTACAGTAAGGTGTGAGGTAGATATAACAAAAGAGGTAATGAAAGATCAAGAGGTTATGATCTCTACCAATGGTCACACAGCTCTTAAGTGGCAGTGCCCAAGTTGGGACATACATCTGACTTTTAGAGCCCATGATCCTTTTCACGAAACCTCACTCTTTCTTATCACATATGATCAGCATTTTCTTTATTGAATTCTACCAGCAGTATTTGGACATGATTCCTTTAACATTATCCACCTTAGCAATTTTAAGAGATTATGCCATCTAGCCTTACTTCTTTGGAAAAGGTATTAATCTTTTTATTTGCTATGTTCATTGTAGTAAGTAATGAATCCAGAGTTTACAGAATCACAAATCATTCGTTAAAATGTTCAGCACATCCCCCAGAGCATATCTTCTCAAACTTATTTCTAGGCCCAGAGCCATAATCAATATGTTTCTAGAAAGCTGTTAACACAAAGTACATATCCTGAAACTATTTGCCTCAGTGCTAATCCACAAGTAAAATGAATGAATAATACCTGGACAAGTTTTCCAGTAAACCTTTCTGCTTTTGCTTTAGTCTCAGGTTTAAAGAGAATAAAGCAAAAGCAATGCCTTTGTTTAAATAGTAATAGTAGCCATCATTCAAAACCATGTATTATATGGCTGGCATCCAATTATTTATTAACAAATTAAGAGAAGAGAGACTGTTTTAAACTTAATGGCTAATTTTTGTCTCCTTTAAAGTCAGTTGGCACGTTACAACGTCACTTACTATTCCTAAGGCCATTTATGGATATTTTTAAAACTGTTTGATATGTTAAGAACGGCCAGTGCAGGCAAGAAACAAACCACTATATCCACATAGACTAATTTCCCAGTGGATATTACTTGTGACCCATGTGCTAGATTGAAGTGGTCACAATAATTTGCTTTCTTTTGGGGGGCGGCTGACTGGTGTGGGGATCTAAATCCTTGACCTTGGTGTTACAACACTGCGCTCTAACCAATTGAGCTAACCGGTCAACCCTTGATAATTTTCTAATAGTTGATTACGTTTTTTAAATGTTGTCACTTGGCAAATCCTGTTTGCGAGTTCGAAACTCAGTGTTAGTACACTGTTCCCCCTCTCCCCCCATCACCACCCTCCTGGTTCTTTTCAACTGGCCCACGTAGGAGCTTCTCTACTTGGAGAACAGGACCCAACAGATTCCACTGTGGCCCCAAATGAGCAGGAGTTTTTTAAATGCAGTTTGTGTATATCTGTAAAAACATCACATTGCTGAGTTGAAATACATACCTGTTTGGTAAGGGTAGCAACCTTTCACTGTTTTTAGCTTGACTTGATAATGAATGAATCTATTCAGGCCATGCTTCAAAAATTGCATTAACTGCTGCATACAGAATAAAAATTGAAAGCATATTATTTTAGAAATAATACTATTAGTAGTATATTAGGTTTTGTTATAAACTTAACTGTGTCAAAAACTTTTTTTTAATTTTAATTATTTGAACTGTATATTTTACTCTTTAATATTCGCCTTATTTACTTCTGAAACACAAAATTTAAAATTTATATGGTCTTGTAATTAACATAAAATAGTAATAATATGATAAAGAAAATACTGTCATTGAAAATAGACAGCATCACTTAATAAAGTCAATAAGTTATAGATAATTTATAATACATCAGAAATAATATTTGTTGCCTATGGAAATAAATTTTAATTCAAGTAGATCTGCAAATCTTTATGGCAGTATATAAATGCAGTATAAACAATGTGACTGTATTAACAAAATGATCTTAAATACCTGGAACATCCTAAAGTACTTACAGTAACTAAAAAGACATAGCCTCATTTGAATCAAGGCAGAGGTGTCAGTCAAGCAGTTTACTCAGTGGTTCTAAAAGCAAAGAATCGCTGGTATTAGAGTAGCCTTATCACCATGAATCTGGTTTCACTTTGAATGTTTGGATCATCAAATTTTAGCTGAAATAAAGGCTCATTTATGTAGTTGAAATCTAGGAATACTTACAGTTCAGGCACTCCAGAAGTAGAAGCAGCTGAACCTCAAGCTTCCCTAGACAATGAGACTCTTGGTTGTGTCAGCTGGGCTCTTCCGTCCGGTGGTGGTGCAGTTGGTTGGGGTTTTCTTTTTTTATATTCACATGTGGTAGTGGGCGGGGGGGGTGTCTCTCTTTTCTTTCTTTTTTCAATATGACAAGCCTCAGGCTCCTTTTGAAAATATTAAAAGGCCTCACCACCATGCAACAACTTTAAACTCAATCAACACTTAACTTTAGGAAATTATATCTTCTTTATGAATACCATTCAACTTGATAATCATGGAGTTTCCCTCACTCCCCCAAATAAAAAAGTTTTATAAATTGTAAGCAAAAATATGCATTTTCTATTTTTCCCAAGAAATGATGCTCAATATGCTATATGAACTTTTAAAGCACAAACATTGAATTTCTGTTTCTTTCTAGATTAGTTTTAGAAATTAAGTTACTCAAATAAAATAGCGTTTCTGTATTGAATTATTACTAACATTAGTAATGAATTATTTTACTCTTTAATTTTTTAAGTTATTTGATCTGTACCTTATTTTAGTATATTTTCATGTGTTCCTTTAAGATCTTGGATTTATTTTCTAAAACAGTATTATAATTTTAGGACTAGATGAGACTTGTGATGGTATTCTCCCATTTTTATCACTATGATAAACTCTTCTGTGTAAATTAAAACATCTCCTATATTTTAAATAAAATAATGATGGTATTCGACAGTTTTTATTTTGGTCTTCGTCCAATATTTAACCACTATCTATCCATCTGTGTAACTGCTGGCCCTGCAGTTTAGTGTCATTTCCCTTTTTTTGTTGTCATTTGAAATGAGGAAGTTAGTTTTTAATCCCTCCATAATTACTATCCTGCAGCTTTCTTTATGCTAAATGATATTTAATTCATTGGGCTTTATCTAACATTCTAATTATTTCTAGGTACACTCTTCTGAACATCATATTCTCCAGAGTTTTTAGTTTGTTATAAGTATGATACATGGGACAGAATATTTTTAAATTGTTAGAATAAAAATTTTTGTAGGTCTTACTTCCCCTTAGTACCTCTGAGAAGGAAGGTGATTACTGTATTGGTCTGGCAGGATTTTCTTTTATTGTGGTAAAAACACACACACACAACATTAAATTTACCATCTTAACCCTTTTTAGGTGTACAGTTCAGGAGTGATAAGTATATTCACATTATGTGCAACAGATCTCTAAAACGTTTTCATCTTGCAAAACTGAAACTCTGTACCCACTAAATACTAATCCTGCCCCCCTACCTTGGCAACGATGATTCTACTTTCTGTTTCTATGATTTTGACTACTTTGGATATAGATATTTCATATGAGTTGAACCATACAGTATTTGATTTGTCCTTTAGTGACAGGCTTATTTCACTTAGCTAATATCCTCCAGGTTCATCTATGTGACAGGATATCCTTCTTTTCTTTTCCTTTTTTTTTTTTTTTTTTTTTATTTCATATGAGTTGAACCATACAGTATTTGATTTGTCCTTTAGTGACAGGCTTATTTCACTTAGCTAATATCCTCCAGGTTCATCTATGTGACAGGATATCCTTCTTTTCTTTTCTTTTTTTTTTTTTTTTTTTTGGCAGCTGGCCAATACAGGCCTGTGACCTTGGTGTTATCAGCACTATGTTCTAACCAAGTGAGCAACCAGCCAGCCAGCCCTGAAGTACCTGTATATGTACCACATTTTCTGTATGCATTCATCTGTCATGAACATTTGGGTTGCTTCCACCTCTTAGCTATTGTGAATAATGCTATGACGAACATAGGCATGCACATATCTCTTCAAGATCCTGGCAAGATTTTTTTTTATGACTAAATAGGTATTTACCTATTAGTGTTCTATTTCATAAAATCTAGTGTAAATATTTTCTTCTATATTATGCTATTTTCCCATACATAAGCCATCCCTTTTCAAAATACTAATTTTGTTTTAATCTTCAGTTTCCTCATTGTGACCACATTTTCCCTCAGCATGAGTCAGCAAAGCTACCACCAGATTTGAGTATAATCCTCTAGTTCTTTCTTTATATGACCTTCTTCCTGTTCATTCTGAACTTTCTACTTTGTCTCTGTGTTCTTAGCTCATTCCTATATATCCTCGTCCCCTTACCCTTTTATTTTCTCTTTTGTTGGTATCAGAAGCTTTTTATTTACATGAAGATATAAGTAGAAAAGAAGAAATAAATGTATGTGATTCTTTGTCCCATCTATTAGTGATATCACTATCCTCTATCTAAATCCCAATCCTGGTTAAACTCAGCTCAGCACCTACTGTAGGCCTGAACCCTGACTGATAAAATGAGGACTGCTGGGTACAAACACACAATCCTGCTGATTGGTCTCGCTTCAAATTCATGACCACAAACCTCAAGTGGGCCCCTGTGCTGCCAGCAGTCCTTGTATATTTCTTTAGTCTGTTGGTTCTCAAAGCATGGCTCCTAGACCAATAACATCAACATCATTCGGAACCTTGTCAGAAATACACATTCTTAACCTAATCCCAGACTTGTGAACCAGAAATTCTGGGGATGGGGCCCAGCAATCTGTGTGATTCTGATGCTAATGTTTGAGAACCATGGCCTTAGTAAGTTCATTCTCCTATTCTTTTTTTTTCTTTTTTTTTTCCTTTTTGTCTTTTTTCGTGACCGGCAACGGATCGCAACCCTCAGTGTCGCGCCCATACCGGACCGGGACCGGCAACGGGATCGCAACCCTCGGTGTTGCTCCCGCACCTCACTCAGCCAGTGAGCGGCCAGTCTGTATGTGGGATCCGAACCCTCGGCGGGAGCACCGCCGCACTCCCAAGCGGCGCACTGTAGCAGTGCACCACCGGGCCGGCCCCTCTCCTATTCTTTAAAAATACTTTTTCCCACCTTTACTCTTCTCAGACAGCCAGCAACCCCCTCTCCTTTCCCCACTCCCTCCTAATGATGGTTTTTTATTTCACTGAGAAAAAAAGAAGTGCTCAGAAGAGAATTTCCTCACCTTCCTGCATCCACATCTGCATGTGTCCCTGTGCCCTGCCTTCTCTGCTCTCTCTAGGGCCAACCCTCCCTCCTTATGTATTACACATCCCATCCCCTCTTTTTGAATCATTTCCCTCTCTACAGGATCATTCCCATCAGTACACAAATGTCCCTCTTTAAAAAGCAAAATGAAAACAAAAACCTCCATGAAAACCCCTAGGTACTGCTATGGAGTCTTCTTACAGGACATATTATTATGTAAAACATTTGAATATTTATATGTATTTTCTTATTGTTTAGAAAAAATGGAAGGATAAACCGAAAATTAATAAAAATACAGTCAGCCCTCTGTATCCATGGGTTCTACATCCATGGGTTCAACCAACTTTGGATCAAAAATATTCAAAAAAAAAATTGCTCATGTAGCAAACATTTACAGACTTTTTCTTCCCTTGTCATTATTCCCTAAATAATATAGCATAAGAACTATTTACGTAACATTTACATTGTATTAGATATCATGAATAATCTAGAAATGATTTTGAGTACATGGGAGGATGTGTGTAGGTTTATGCAAATACTATGCCATTGTATATCAGGGACTTGAGCATCCACGGATTTCCATATCCACGGAAGGTCCTGGAACTAATCCTCCTCAGATGCTGTGGGACAACTGTAGTTACCAATGGGGGAGAAAGATTGGGGTTGGGGGAAGAGGATAAAAGCTATACCTCTCTGAATGGTATTTGTTTTACAGTTTTGAGTTTGGAACTATATACGTGTTTTATATAATTAAAATGCCAAATTAAGTCAAAATCTAATTAAAACAATTGAAACTCACCATGTTACAAACTGAAAGCATAACCACACAGAGAATTATTTTACATGATTTTAAAGTAGTGTAGGTTTTTCTTTTTTTATATAATTTTAGACTTATAGAAAAGTTACAAGAATAATGCAAAGAATTCTGGATACCTTTCACTCAGATTTCTCATATGTTAACATTTTTTTTTCATTTGTTTTTTCCTTCTCAATCTCTCACTGTTATCTCTTTTTTCATGTATCTGTATTTCCAAAAAATAAGAAATTCTCTTATATAGCTACAGTACAATTATCAAAATCAGGGAATTTATATTGAATGAATACTGTTATGTAATCTACAGACCTTGTTCCAATTTCATCAATTGTCCTAATAATATCCTTTATAGCAAAAATAAAAACAAGATCACATGTTGCATTTAGTAGTTGTATCTCTTTAGTCTCCTTCAGTCATTTTCTTCTTGAACTTCATTTGAAGAATATAGGCCAGTTACTTTCTAGAACCTACTGAAAGTCCCCACTGAGAGCAGTCTTTGTCAGTTGCTTGCTAAGGAACTTTGCTTGCTCTCCTGTAGACTTCTTGCTGCCTGTGCCATGCTGTAGTTTGCTCACTGTTCATTTGCACACTTGTTTTTCCTCTCTCCTCTCTTTCTCACACACTCATGCACACTTATATTTGAAGGCTCATCTTTCTTTGCACTAGACTCTATTGTGAAGGTTTTTAAACTTCTTCAGGCAGAAAGGATAACTTCCTAAGAAGAATTCTGTGCTTTCATTGGGCAGAGTAAAAGTCCCTCCCACTTCTGTGTATCATCATTAGACAACTTTCTGGGGACACCAGCTCAATTTTATTGCACAGGTTTTTTTTCATACCCACTATCATGTTGGCTAAAACTGTGTCATTTTGTGAATGGGAAAGTATGGAAAAGAATAAAAAATACCTTTGTTTTCCATGCCTAAAGAAGCTTGCCTTTCTCTACTAGCCCATGTTTTGAGACAGGGTCAGATGTAGTGTTAGTCATATTGGGGCGCATCATATTTCAGCAGAGACCAAAGTTCCCCACAATTAAATTTTTTCCTGACACCAGCCCGAACAAGGTCCCAGAAAGAAATGGAGAGGACAAAGTCCTACAAAGAACCCCTCATTGTTACCACAAAGTATACAATATGTAGGGAGCCCTGGTCAAGCAGGATGTCTTTGCCCTAGACCAGAAGCCAGCTAAGTGGTCTCTCTTCCCCCATCTTCTTTCTAACCTGCCATGCCCACAGAGAGGAAAGGCAGGTATAGTGAAAAGACATGCCCAGGGAGAGCATTGAATTCCCTAGGAATGAGGCTCAATTAAAGTCATTAAATCTGATCCATCCATTTAGTATTCCTCTTACTTGGGGGTGGAATGAATAAAGAAAAAAAGGGGATAGGGGAAATGGACAAGGAAAGGGCCATCTGTATCCCCTAAGGGCCAAGATACAGTGGCTCTGTAGGTAAAGTGAGAGATTTCAAGAGATGTTTTAGCAGGAAGTGAAAATATATTTTTCCTTAAACAAATCTAGACTGTCGCTCAAAGGAAGAGAATATTGCATAAAAAGGCAAAAATTATATCTGTGTTTCTTGAATATCCATGCTTTCTGAATAATTCTTAGCACCATGCTCTAATCTTGGAAGCAAATAATTCCTGAAAAATATTGGATGGAACAGGTAAATCTTAGGAGAAATCAGCCAGAAGTGAGAATAGGACAAATAACCCAAGCATCCACAGTAATTTAGAAGTTTTTAATGTATTACCGTATTGTCATGTTAAGTAGTTTTGTGTAAATTGAATTGTTCATCTTCAACTAATTCTTATCTTTGGTTTTGCTGTTTGTTTGTCTTTTTTTTTCTTTTCAGCCCCACTGTGTTCTCCTCGCCTCAAAAGAAAACTCAGCACCTGTTAAACTTGGGGGCTTTGGGGTAGCTATTCAATTAGGGGAATCTGGACTTGTAGCTGGAGGTAAGACCACTTTTTAAAAATTTTCCTTTCAAAATCTGGTCACTCTCGGGCTGGTGTAAAACTTTCAAACTAAATATTAACCCAACCTCAGTGTTTCATACCCCATTCCACCCTACACGCCCCCCCCAAAAAAGCACCATCAAGTAGTTTTGAATTTAATAACTCTGTATTCATAAATGTAATTTTAGTCCCTTAAGAATAGATTCTTATCTTTTTTCTCTTTGTTTCCCCAGCACTTAACAGAGAAGAGACCCTACATAAGGAGATTTAAAACACTGTTCGAAGATGATATTTTGGGTATAGTGGCTTTTAAAGTCAAACTGGCCAAGCAAAGTCAAGTCTAAAATGGGTGGATTAGCTACTTCTGGGTTTATGTCTATGGCTAATTTTTAGTTTCGTACTGTTTTCCTTTTTCCATTTATCAAAGAATCCTGCTCAAGCCATCAGTCTGTGGGACAAGCAGATGTGAATGTAGGCTGATTTTATTATTAGCCAAAGCAAAACATAATTTAAAAATTCCCATGCAAGGATAAAAAGAAGAAAAGTTAAAATAGAAACTTTTTTCACCGGTGTGCAGAGGTGGATGCTAATTATAAATTCAAGTATTTGGTTTTTCATTTATTCCTTTCAATAGACTCCAGTTCAGAATGCTGCCCTGTTTTTAGTTCTGTATGCTGGTTTTACAAATTATTTAGTTCTCCATTCTACAGCTATCAGTCTTCTAGTCAATGCTTTCTGTTTTCTGTCTCCAAGTACTGCCAGCCTTCACAAAGAGGGAAAATATGAAAAATATCAACAGAAACTTTTTAAACCTATCATCTTTCAAGAATGCTTATGTTAAATTTAAATACCTAAGAAATAATAAATATCAAAGTAATCATCTGTTACACAAGATATTTCATTTAACTTAATTCATTGTAGCTAGAACATCAAGCAGTAATAACATAGACCATCTTCTGAAAAATGAGCCTTATGTCATAGTTGTATTCTTTTCTTTTTTTTTTTTTTCCTTTTTGTCTTTTTTCGTGTCCGGCAACGGATCGCAACCCTCAGTGTTGCGCCCGTACCGGACCGGGACTGGCAACGGGATCACAACCCTCGGTGTTG